ATTTGTTGCCAAGGGCTCCCAATATTGAAAGTTTTCTTCATTCTTCCTCTTCAAGTGACATGATATTATTGAACTGAGGGAGTATTCAGCTTTTATGGTGCATCCCCTCCGGGCATAGCGTTAGGGTGGGTCGGATTTTCCAAACATGTTCTCTTTCACTAGCGAAAGGGCAAACGTTTGATTTTGAAAGGTTGTGGGAATGTAGTTCACTCAGGATGGATTTAGGTGAGAAAAAAACTATACGTTTCGGTTAAAACGGGTCAGGGCACATATTTTGCAAAAGGCGCATTTGTCCAGAATTTTCTGATCCAGCAAAACAGAGGGCGCATGAAAGTTTAAAAAAAATAACTTGGCAAATAAGTACCTGATGGATAGCTGCTTGAAGAAAAAATTCTGCTTTTCTAATATATATGTGGAAAGATGAAACTCGGTACATAACTACCTCTTGGGATGCTGTGTGCAGAAAAATTCAGACTTTGGAAGCTAATGCCCCGGGGGGCCAACTTTCTTGAAACTTGGAACACGTATAAGTGACATGATATTATTATTATTGAGTTGAGGTAGTATTCAGCTTTCATGGTGCATCCTCTCCTGGCATAGTTTTTGGATGCGTCAGCTTTTCCAAACATGTTTTTTCCCCAGCGAAAAGGGAAAACGAATTAGGTTGAAACTTTGCGGGCATGTAGTTTTCTGAGGATTAATTTACGTAAAAAAGAAATGTATCTTTTAGTTAAAACGCCTGATAGCACATATATTTCAAAGGGCGTATTACCTCGAATTTTTCCGATCCAACAAAAAAGAGGGCACTGGAAAGTTAAAACTTGCCAAAGAAGATCCTGATGGATAATTGAGTAAAGAAAAAATTCTACTTTTATTATACATAGAGGATCATTAGTAGCTGATTGACTAAGTCGCTATTCCCATGCTGAGTTCAGGAAAAATTCTACTTTGATGATACATGCCATAGAGACAAACCTTTTCGGGAAACATATTTTCAAATAGGTCTCTTCCCTTCAATCAAACGATGGCACGTGGAAAACTGAAGCCTTGCAAGAACGTGTCTGCTGACGCACTGAGCTAAGAAAAAATACCAAATTTACAAAATATTGGAATTTTGGGGGATATTTCTTGGGGACGTTTTGTTTTCTAAGAATTTTTAATATCTCAGCGAATTGGGCAGAAATAGAAAAGTAGCAGCTGGCGCACGAACAACAGACGTGATGATTTAAGGAAAAATTCAACATGTGCGTTCTCCATATGTCAGGTATTTAAGAGAGGACATACATCAAATGTGTTTCGCATTTCGAAAAAAATGAATGAATTAATAACCTTGCAAGGTAATGGAGCGCCGAAGGCGCGACCACAGCGAGTTTGTTTGCCCGAAGGGCAAACAAACTCGCTAGTATATATATATATACGTTGGGACACGTTGGGACAAACGACACTCCCAAGTCTGGCTCTGAAATCATCATGGGCAGGCTGAGACAGGCTATTAGGGTATGGATGGGAGGGGCGTACCAGGGCGTGTCGGGAGGCGAGGTCGGGGGTGCAGGTGACGGTATGAGCGATTCCAAGTCGGTTATGCAAAGGAGGAATCACGTGGTCTCGGTGGAGCATTTTTCATATGCTGTGCAATTCGACCATTGCATCAGGGTAGATGTTAACATCACATTGTCGAATTTATCATCGCCACATGATATTAATATTGACATGCTGGACACATATACCTAAAAATCAATCATGATTGCGTGACCGTTGTTTCCTTCAACGTCCTCGGAAAATATCCATGTTTAAAAATCAATAACTTTGTAATAAGGCAAATAGAGGAGGACATTTTTGTACTACGCTGTAACCGATGCCTTCTAGTATCAACGTTGAAGAAATGAAGAAAATCAAAGATTTTTGATGGAAAAAAAATCTTCTTCACCCATTTTTCGGAAAATGACAAAAGTTGCAAATTAATATCAAATTAAGCATTAATGATATAAATGCCAAATGACAACAAGAAATGCCCGAATGTATGTAGTTCATGAAAATATAGTTGATTCAAGATGGGATACACACTCAACTGGCGAAAAAATTCAGCAAAACCCAGCAAATTCAGCAGTTTCGTCAATTTTTAAAGTGAAAAGTCACGTGTTTATAAAATTATAACACAGGTTTTTCTCAAATGTTTACACTATACGTACATTCAAGCGAGAAATTATTTTTAGAAATCTATGCACATTACTTTAGGAGATACAGCAAACTGAGTGGGGGAAAAGAGGAATTCCACGTCACCCTTTTTAGAGCCCTGCACTTGTGAATTTTTTTCTCCGAAACTATTGCAGATACTGAGGTAAATAAGTTACCATTTTTCATCATTTGAATGGGGGATCATATTTTTTTTTAAATCCAAGACTATGACCTGGCACGAAAACCATGACACTCACTGATTTGAAATGGAACCACCCCCATACCAGATCATACAGAAAATTGCGTCTTTTAGATGCAATTTCTATGCTACTCTCATAACATCACCTTAAGAGTCATAATTCTTTTATACGAAGGTTGTTCGTTTACTTCCTGGACTGTGCCTGTACGTCGACATTTGGATGTGCGATTGCGTCAGAATTTCGTAACATGTTTGGAGAGGCAATTGAGACACAGACTCTTGGACTGTCAAATTCTGCCTTGATCGTGCCGTTCTATAGTTCCAGGCATTGCCTACAGACGTGCACGAGCTTTCCGTTTAAATTATTATGTTTGCATCGTGAGTGGGAGCAAGGCCAGCGGAAAGGAAAAGTGAAGATAACCCGTCCATAACGACTATCTTTCTCTGGTGAAAGAGTCTTTGTGGCCGTGAAGGCCGTCTGAACCGTATGCAGATGACCAGCGCTCCGGGTAGCCATCGACATCCATACTGCTATATAACAAGTTGCCAGATACGAAATATTGGTCTGCAGAGATAGGTGCATAACTGCTAGTCATTCGCTGCGTTGTCAAGGTCTATCTGTAATGCCGAAGCGAATCCGAAAACCTCTTGCAGCGTTTCGATGGCTGCCTGGAAGATGGGTCGTCTGCAAAGTGAGCTGACGTTTCCACGAAAGCGCTTGCGTCAATGAAATGCCGTGATCCTAGACGGACAATCTTGTGTCTTTTCCGCCGGTGTCCGAGCCTCACGCAATGCTCTGTGGTACACCATCACTTCATCTTCAGTCATATCTCTATGTGGCTGAACTCTCGTTCCATCTCCAGAACTAACGATGTGAACAACGTGCAACCAAGCAGATCAACTTAAAAAAGTTCGGCACAATCGTCCAGTGATGTCTCGAGATACAGGTGCAGTTCAGAAATGAATAGCCGCCGTGAAGGTTAATTGGAAATAACGCAAATTCCATATTTTTATAACTAAGAAGCGACTTCAGCAATTACATCATCGTTAAGTACTACCACTAAGGTAGTCTCTGAACTAGTGAAATGTAGTTGAATGGTTCGTCGTGGGTGTCCGCGTGGCGGCTTGTATATTGCGTTCCCACTCGATTTACATGGCTGTAACTTTTCATAAACCCTCATCGCCATGACGTTTGTGGGTTGCAATGTGTCAATGGCTTTACAGTGGTTTACTGTTGGTTTTCGGGTGCGACTTAGTAATTCTGTTGCTCAGACATGGAGGCAATTTAATCAGGCATATGGCGACGACTATCAACGGTAATTTACACAAGAGACAAATTCCAACACTGACAAGAACGAGACGTTATTCACTAACGTCTGAGCGAAGAGTATGCTCCTCAAACACTCGCCGCCATATGCCTGGTGAGATAACGTGCACGCCTCAGCGGCGGTCTATTCTGCACTAAAGAGAAGATCAGCCCTCTGTTGTACTTCCATCGACGCATTTCTTTTTCACAATGCTAACATGCCGTTCGGTTTGTGGACCGCCGCGACGAACGCACACATCAGACGAATCACACCAGGTTTGCACTTGTTCAAAGACCATGCCTAATTAGTAGCACTTTATGACGGTTTATTTCCCTTCGCCACTTCTTGACATAAAAAATAGCTTGTGTAGTCTTAACAACCACTCATATTTTGTTGTACTGACCCATTCTGCTTGGAACTGGTTCGTACAGACTACACACAAGGTGCCTAAAAAAGTTAATGCTGAGAGAATTGATTTTTCTTATGGTCTATTACGTTTGAATATAAACTTGCACACCATTTAAAATGAAAAGACATTAAGCTTTCCAATGCTGAAGATTGCACGATTTCAGCCATCCTGGTGAACCACTGCAAGCAGCCTAAACAAGAGAAACCGGCAAGGGAAGCTCTTGAGGAAGATGGTGAGTCACAAGTGTAGTGCCGGGAGATTTCACTCTACTGCTGGTTCTTGGGCATTTGTCAGCAAAAATGCCGCAGGATTTATTGAATCAAAGAATCTTCTTGGTGACTCATCTCTCTCAATCTAAAAAATCAAACTAGGAATGTCAGTCAGCAGTAGAAAACCTCGCGAAGCGTCTGACGGTGTGTTGGTGTCAAGGAGGAGCCCGCCTTGAACGTGTCTTTTAGTAATAGTGTGTAAATTTCTTAGATTCTAATTTTCACTGTTCCGTATCTCGCTCCTAAAACAGTCGACTTTCAAATGGTTTTTCAGCAGATGAAAGCTTAATCTCTTCTCTTTCTAACGAGCATAAAATTTAAAAATCAAGTTAGATGTAATAAAAATCGAGTTAGATGTAATAACAGAAAAATACATTATAACGAGGTTAATTTTTTTACATTGCATTTTGATATGTGCGTATGCCTAGTTTTGATTTCAACTGAAACTTGCAACGAAACGGAATTTTTCAGCGAAGAAGATTTTTGACAATTACAGACCATAATTTATTTAATAACGGAACCTTTGTTATTCATCACTGGGAAACCTGATGTTCTATAGTTTTCAAAGATCGTTGCTGATGTTCTCAGATCTGAACTCCTCAATCACCGAAGAGATTAAAAGTTGAATATGCAGGTAGGTCTCACAACTCTCCATCTCCGTATCCATGAGTGTCGGTGGCAAAGGAAACAGCAGCTGTGATGCCAACTATCCCGAAAGGAACAGCGTATCCGACGATCAAGTACATCCGAGTGGAGAGGTTGTAGTTAGTTGGGAACACCTGGGCAAGGTGCTGATAGATGAAGATGCCCTCCAAGGCCATCCACATGAAGGCACAAAGGAAAAAGTAGTGAAGAAGTACTCCCGACAGGGCACAACCGATCTGCATTATATCGGAGGCATTCAATGTTAGCGCATAAAAGTATGAATACCTTTAAAATATTCTCAATTTTCACAAAACCAGTTTTTAGTTGGTAGCTATCGCTATTTAGTATTATTAACGCAGTATCATCGCGATGGTTACTATCAGTGAATATCTTGCAGGGAATGAAGTAGCTTCACTTTCGAAAAGTCCATTACCACTGTCCATGATCAACTAAAGAATCCCACAATGATCTCTTGGAGGAAATGAATCATCAACTGCATTATCTAACTGGTGACAGTGGGCGAGGAGCTTATCCGCACGATAGGTTCCGTTCCGTTAGGATTTTAAAAACTTCTCGTGCAAAAAAAGATGCAAATATTGTCACTCAACTTCATCCTAAGTAAAAAATAATTTGTGGAGGTATGTTTAAATTAATAAAACTAGTTATATATGAAGATCGAGATTACAGTGACAGACTGTGCACCATTTGGAACCATGGAAATATCGAATATGAATTTCGTTTTTGTTGGTATCGCCTGTGTATTCTTTATACAAAAATTCTTTGATACTCTGGGAATTCTACGATCACGGAAGCAAGCATAGGTTTTCCATAATGAGCAATATTTGAATGCTAATTAACAATCGAATTTGTGGTGAAATTTCTTAAGTTAGTTTGCGCTTTCAGAACGGAAACGACAGGAACATAATAGGGTAAAAAAATGAAGTCCAATATTTGTGAAATTATGTCTGTGACATGGACCACAAAAAAACTAATTTTCATTGTCAACCGTTGCAAACGTATCACGGCCTGCTACTTGGCGGATGTACTTGTGTAAAAAACCTTTTAATGTGCGACAAAACCGGGTATTGCAAATGGACACCACACTTCGTCAGCCTGAACTGTGTCCTCAAAATGATCAGGATATTTTGGGACTCCTCATTCGTTATTTAACCCATTTACTCGTTACAGATAGGAAACTTATTCGAACTTATTTTTGCTGCATGTCATTAGTAATAGTGGCATGCGTGCATACATTTTCAAGAAAATCAAGATGGCGGGTCTGAATTCATTTCCCATTTATGGGTTGCGAGAAATGTCTAACGTCATGTTAAAGATTTTGTGATAAGGAATTGACCTCGTAGCCTTTTTTGACTGCCCAAGGTGGAATTGGCTTTGAAGGAATATCCCTTTAAGTCAAAGCGAATCATTTGTAAATAATAATAAAAAATTTACTTTTCGGATATTAACCGCTGCATACAAAAAAAGGTGAGATGAGAAGCGCTAGTTCAACACCAACAACAGACACGTTGTGAGTTCTTATCTTAGCACTTGCAATTTAAGCTGCTGGGGGGATATCTCTCGGAAATGCCCGGTACAATATTCATGAATTTAGGAAAATAAGAAAATACATTACTCTAAATTTGCTTCTATAGCAAGACAATGGATATACTAGGAAAATTATTCTAGGGAAGGTATTTGAAACTATTGAATAATTGACGATGCAGTCATTGTGAAGTCCAATGACGTTATTCTTATGCGGAAACTTACCTCAGGCAAGTTGAAAACTTGTCGGTCAATCAGTAGCAGTAGAAGAATATGGCACACCAAGAGACAGAAACACAAATGCCTGTTCAGCTTCACCGATTTCAGCGTCGCGTTCCTAGAAATGACGAAGTCGTCAGCATTCAGAACGTTTGTTGGATATTCCACAAGTGTGCTATGCATACGTACTCAGAAATGTGGAAAATGACCAGGGCAAGAGTGAGTCCAAGGATGGAGATGGAGGATAGGCAGATGGTAAGTACTTGTAGCCCCACACTACGTCCCTGAAATAAACGCATGCTGCAGAAAATCTCTCCATTTCGTACGAGTTTTAATTATGTATTTTCCGGGAAACCAAAGGAGCAATGCCTTCGGACTTACAACATATCCGTGTAGGTCCATGAGAACTCCAAAGTTGGTCAGATGGTTGCATTCACAAATAGTCTGATCCCTGTCAGAAGACACCTCATGGCAGCCAGTCGTGTCCCAATAACCTCTACAATGAGTGCGTGATAAGGCATGTGAAAATATTGGACATGTATATGAAACTAAGTCTCTCCAAATGCGGTATACACGCACTGATTATTGAAATTCCAGAAGGTGCAGCGATGGGATAGAGGCACTAATGTCGGTTCCTCTCCTTCATGAAGGTCTCTCCAAATTTCGTGGTAAGGAGGGTCTCGAGGAGCGTCCATGTTTTCCATAACAAGAGTGACATTATTCGTGAGTTTCGTAGTTTGATCGACTTCGAAGGTTAGACTCAAAAGTTTAGAATTGACTGTTTTCTGTGCTTTCAACCTATAAATGAGCAGTATCTTAATATTGGAAAATGACTGGTATCGATCGGTTGATTTTTTCAACCTACAACGTACACATTTCGATGACCGGGCAGGAGTTGGTTCACATACTGAATGTTATACAAGACCCCGACGTAAGAGAAATAGTCACCATCCAAATCATCTTGAAATGTCCTGGGCAACTTCAAGTACGTTTTGCTCTCAGTACTGGGGAAAATGAGCGGGGTTGCGACTCCTTTCTTATGTCCGGAGATTTCGATCAGAAATGTAGATTTTTCCTCTGCAAACTCGAATTCCTCATGAAAATCTAGGATGAGCTTTTCCAAGAGCATAAGAGAGTAATGACTGACTGTCGTCAGGAGGGCTGAGAAAGTCTCTGTTCGTTTGCGCTGCAATGGAAGGACAATGATGTCATATATAGGGTGGTTAAAAAACGCTATACTGTTTTCTATGGGAGAAACACAGTTTCATAAATGCAGCCAACAAATTTACATTGGATACGCGATCGATATTTGACAGAAGATGTAGAAATACCTGTCAGCTTTTTCCAGCCCCCCCTACCTAAGTCGTGCAGTTCCCATTTAGAGGAGAATTAAAGGTGCTTAGAGGTGGGTCATTCCACCTCAATTGAAGTGATTACCTGTGCTCGACCGTCACAGAATTAAATTAAATTTTCAACTTTAACCTTTCAAGGGACAATTGGATCCAGCTGATGCTTGACAGCGAGGTTCATGAGTCTAATAAGTTACTTTTCACTTCTGCAAGACGGCGCTTTATCCCGATAAAGGTCGTTGTTGTTGACCGGGTGACCGAGGGTGGTTTAAAAAAAGTGCAATGATCCACCTTTAAACTGTGTAACGGGACAATACACGGCTCAGAGAATTCTTTAGAAAAATAAAGATAATACCGGGTGGCCCAAAAAAGTCCTGAACTTTACAAGCCTGCTGGCCGAATACCATATGAGCTATCGGCAGTAAATTTCCAGGGTTTCACATCCAATGTGTGCTGGCAATGCCACAAAAACTTCAATGAAACTTGTTGTTAAATTCCTGAGTAAAAGATTTTCTCCCGCGCTATATCAAAAGGGCGAGTGTGTAAAGATGTGCGACTGCCCTCAATGAAGAGATGTTTCAACCGGTTTCCATTCTGGTCCACAAATGCTGCAGACGCTGTTTCCATCGGTTGATTCACTTTCTTATTGTGTTGTCATAGACAAGAGGTCACAATTCCTCAATTCAAGCCTTCAGTTCAGCAAGTATTGTAAAAGGGGGTGTTGCATTCAGCATGAACTGGCTCCGTCAATTCGTCTCATGTGCTGTAGGCGAGGAGAATTACGTCTGGAGAAGTGGAAGGCCACTTATTTTCTGAAATGAAATCAGGGTGTTGTTTTTTAAGTACTCATGCCAACGTTTGGCACGATGTGAAGGAGTACTATCTCGCATGAAAATGTTGTCATGATTTGGGTCCAACTGTTTGCATTGAGAGAAATTATTCTCCAAGAACTGCAGGTAGTTCTCTTGATTTACCTTCTTTCGCTGTGAATCCATGAGAAAAAATCTCCATCATGTTAGTTCTGGATAGTGCTCCTTCGCATCGTGCCAAATGTGTGCATGAGCACTTGAAGAATAAAATTCCTGACTTCATTTGAGAAAATCAGTGGCCTTCCACTTCTCCAGACGTAATTCTCCTCGCCTACAGCACATGAGACGAATTGACGGAGCCAGTTCATGCTGAATGCAACACCCCCTTTTACAATACTTGCTGAACTGAAGGCTTGAATTGAGGAATTGTGACCTCTTGTCTATGACAACACAATAAGAAAGTGAATCAACCGATGGAAACAGCGTCTACAGCATTTGTGGACCAGAATGGAAACCGGTTGAAACATCTCTTCATTGAGGGCAGTCGCACATCTTTACACACTCGCCCTTTTGATATAGCGCGGCAGAAAAATTTTTACTCAGGAATTTAACGATCAATTTCATTGAAGTTTTTCTGACATTACCGGGACACATTGGATGTGAAACCCTGCAAATTCCATGTCGATAGCTCATATGGTATTCCGTCGGCAGGCGTGTAAAGCTCGGGACTTTTTTGGGCCACCCGGTATTTTCAACACCTCCAATATGTCCAATATGAGGAGTTTATGAATCTTATATTTTATACTCGTACATAAAAATCGTACTTTCTTCCCTTTGAAAACGGTCGGGCTTTTTTTTAAATCACCCTTGGTCACCTGGTAAATAACAGCGCCCTCTATCAGGATAGAGCGCCATCTTGCGTTTGAGAAAAATAAACTCAACGACTTATAATCCTCTCTGTCGAGTAACAGATGGATCCAACTATCCTTGATAAGTTAAAGTTGAACTTTTCATTGAATTCCGAGGCGGTCGAGCACAGGTAATCACTTCATTTGAGCTGGAGTGATCCACCTCTAAGCACCATTAATTCACCTCTAAATGAGCATTGCACAACTGAGGCAGGGGTGCTGAAAAAAAACTGACAAGCATTTCAACACCTTGTAACTATCAAATATCGATCGCATATCAGGGTAATTATTTTTGCTGCTTTTATGAAACTGTTTCTCCCATAAAAACGGTTCAGCCTTTTCTTTTGCCACCCTATGTAATAATATGCACTCCTCGTTTTAATGCCACACTTCAAGAAGGAACTGAGTGATCTATCCGAGCTTGAGTGGATATTGCCCACTCTTCGTTCATTGTTTGAAATTCCGCGCACTGATCACGACGACTTTCGTATGATTGAAAGGTCTCTTAGTTCCCCTAGATTTAGGATATATGTAACAAATGACGACTCTTGCAGGGTTTTCGACTGGGCGATCGAGAAAAGATGAAGGGGATTGTCACGTCCATTGCCTCACCACCGCTGCTCTTTTTAGATGGAGTTTTTCTCTTTTAATCGGATACATGGGAGGTAGATAGTCTCTAAATACATGTTCTCTTAATATTATAGATCATATATAATAAAAGGGCATCCATACGTTTTAGCCTTTGGTACTGCTAAGAAATGCATGCCTTAGCCCGCTTTGTGATATTTCTGCTCGTCATAATACATAAGTGTAGAGAAAGCCCTGCTGCTGCACCCATACATTTGAAAGCATACACATTTCGTCCAACCAATTTTGCAGCATGATGTTAACCTGTGTGATGTTCATCCATCCGGTGCCAGCCCTCAGGACGTAATCCGTAACCATTGTGAAGTCCGTGAGAAACATCTGAGCACTCTCCATGTGCATGCCATCTCCGCCCAAGTTTTCCAAAAATATCTTGAAAAGCGGTTCGAGAAAATCCACAATAGAGTCAATCTCCTCCCCTGACAACTCTTCATCATTTCCAATCGCCGAAGTCAAGTTCGATATGATGTCAAGAGAATTAGAGTTGTTGAGCTGGAATAGATTAAAGTAATTTCACTACACACTGATTATTGAAATATGAAAAAGTTAAACTGGAACAATGTGGAAAAGCTCACCATGTCAGAAAGGTCATCAATGATGTCAAGCAGCTCATCGCAGTCATCAATCAATGCACACTGCGGGACTGAAATTATTTTTTTTTTTACCAGATAGAATAATGTCGCAATAGAATACACAGAAACAGAGGTATTGGGGATTTGCATTAAACATGGAAACTGAGAACGATATCACATATTACAAATTATGTTTGCATATGTGGTCTTTAAAAGTTGATGTTGCGTGGGTATCTGGCATTTTACAATGAAGCTGAGAACCATTTTTCAAGGACATTCCCTCCTTAAAAGTAACCTGAAAAACACATAATTGCACTTAGCAGGATGATAGAAAATATAATAGCAAAAAAATTGTCACAAAAATTGATTTCTACCCTCTTCAAACAGTGACCAAGAGATTCCAATGACTTCCAGAATTTGAATCTTCATCGAAACCTCAGGAAAATAAATTATTTTTTAATGGCTTGTTTCCTGTTACTTTTGCTCTGTGGGGTGAGGTAAAAGCAACATTCCTGCCCAATTGCCGTCTGATTGCACTGAGGAGCAAAAATGTCGACTGTAAATGCACTCCACAACATGTAGATGAATCTAGGAAATTTTAAGCTAATATTTTCTGAAAATAAAGCAATAGGAGTGTATAATGCTGAAGCAACTGTAGCCATTATTCTCTGTTGAATGTTAAGCCTGCTGGAATTCTCTCACTTTGGGAATAAAATGAGGAAGCAAAATTCCACTCATCCACCCCACAAGCACTAGTCCCTTTACTTTTCCTTTCTTTTCTCCTCAATTTCTTTCCTCAAAAGCAGCTCGGAAATCTGCAATCCTGTTTCCTTATGATGAACACCAGTAAAATTCATGCCTTTCACACCTATCAGCGAAGAGAAACCTTATCCTTTTCAGAACTGAAATAATCCACTATCGAAATAATCTACTTTCTTGGATTGTTTAGCTCTTTTCCTATTCTACTTAAACTTGTTATGTTCTATAGATAGTTGTTATACGAGGGTTGATCGGAAAAAAATGTTCATAATGCCTATTACAGAAGAACAACGAGGTGGGTAGCGTAGGCGTTCGATTAGGGATATTAGGCGTGTTCCACTCCGCAAAGATGCGCGAGGCGTCACTCGTATTGCTCATATCACGTGAGCAGTGTAGTCGTGAAATGGCGAAGGGCTTGAACATATGTCCCGCGTTGAAATTCGAGGAACCATCCGTTTTTTGTGGGCCAGGCACACCTGCGCTGCGGAAATTCAACGCCAGCTGTTGGAAGCGTATGCGGATGGTATGTCATCTAGACACATGGTAGCCGCATGGTGCAGACACTTTGTTGGTGAACGAGTGTCGAGGACAAGAACAGGGCGAGCAGCGGCAGGCCTTACGCTTCGTCAACAAAAGACAACGCCATTCATGTTGATTGGCTAATTCAGGAAGACTGATTAGGTGGATGGGTACTCTGCAACACCAATATGAAGCATTCCGGCGAAGAAGGCCAGGATGTCTCGCACAAGGGGGGTTTCTGTCTCATGGTAACGCTCGTCCTCATGTGTCGCGGCAGACGGCGCAGCTGAACGTGGGGGGGGGGGGGGGCTTCAGCGCACACCGTACAGCTCTGATCTTCAACCGGGCGATTTCTATGTTTCCGTTCTTGAAGAAGCATCTCGGTGGCCGTCATTTCCGGTCTGATACTGAGGCGGAAAAAGAGGTGCAAAAATGGCCGTCTGCGCAAGACATGAAATTATACGCTGCTGCCATTGAAAATCGTATACTTCGATGGGACAAATGCCTCAACGTCCAATAGGCTTATGTTGCTCATTGGTAATGATGAGGTGGCTAGGCGTTTTTAAGGGTTTCTTCGTCAGTATTGGGCCGCGGATGCGTTTGTTTCCTTCGGCGCAAAAGTCGAGCAACACGCGCGCGTGCTGCTCAAATTGCTTTTCGATTTTTAAAGTCTTTTCCGTCCATGATATATTCATTCGCTTGTGATTTATGTACGAGGTGTGCTCACGATGGTAACAATTTAGCGGGAACACTTTCGAACTTCTCGAGGTTTGTTTGAAAAGTTTAATGTTTGGTTTGTACCGAACTGCTTCATATCTTCATGTAAACATTTTTACATTTCCGCCCATTAGATGGCCAGCGTAGCGGCAGGAGGCCGCTAGTCTAATACTTTAATCGAAAGAGACCGAAAGTTATGGTGGCTGGCACTCCTAACGCGCCAGGCCTACCATGTTGTCATTTTAGGCCATAGGCTATGCTATCCATTGCGTACCACTCAAGGACATACAATAGAGAATATAGCTAGAGGCGACTCTCCTCTCGAATCTCATTCATCGACAGTGTCGGAATATGGATGTCACTGTCGGTCCTCCATCTAGCGTGCGCGCATCAACAACTCCTCCACTGCCGAGCAGCCGATTCGACGAGACATGCATGTTATCAACGGGCGGAAACTGGCGCTGCTGTCGCGGCACTTTTTGAAGCCATCTTTTTGAGTTCCATCAGGCCTGTAAAACCACGTGTTAGCCATGCCGGAACATTTGTCTGATCCCAACCTCAGGAATCGCGATATACGTCCGGCCAAAGTAAACTTTACGAACACCCTTTTCACAAGCAAGATAGGTACAAAAATACAGGCCTATGGTCGTGTGCCCAATGGATACGCCTAACTCTCCAATAACGTTACAGAGAACCTGCCCAAGGCCTTCTGTATACATGTCATCATTGGGCTAAGCCAGGAGCTCCCGGTTTTCAATCGCCGATTGTAAGCTAAGCCTTTGATCGGCTTAATGTTTGTCCTATTTGCAAAGTGCCCAGGCCAGATTATGTCCATTGGACCTAGAGTTACTCTAAGTACCTCTAGGTCCACAGATCGTTACCTCGCTCTTGCAGGACTAATTTTGACGTTTTGGTATTGCTTTCAATCAATATCTATGCCTACACCCACTTTTCCTAACTACTTTGATTGAGCGAGTTTCCTTTCGTTTCAATTTAAATTCTAATTATACCTTTTGCAACTTGCTTTTAGATGGTTTGCAATTCATCTTCGGCGCAATCCTTCTTGTTTTTCAGAATTGGAGGTGAATACAGGCGGAATGCATTGAAAAATTATCCTTTTAGCCGAATTTTCGGCGCGCAGGAGATGATGTTCTGTCAACTTTCCGAAAAGAAAAATCATTTTCGGCATCCTGAACCTGCATTTCGGTATCCCTCGTAGTTCGTTTGTGGAAGGAAAGAAATTGAAGAGCGGCAACAAAAAACTTCGAGCTGGGAATTGAGTTCATCAACATTCGATAGGGGAAACCACTGATGGGAACTTTTCAGTCGAATCACTACCACAATAATGAGAGACCGGCGAAATAACAGGAACTCGCTGCACATCTTCAGATATCTTACACTCCGTGATTAATATGCCAACCGTTGTCAGCTATGTATTCCGATATCAAGAGATTTTACCTCCTGTAATCCCCCTTAATTAGGATAGTAGTTCATTTTGCTATATTTTCCCCTTTGTTTCTCAATGGAAGGGGAATAAAGCTTCGAATTTGATATCGGCATTCAGTATGAATTTTCGGCGCACAGAATGAAGCTCGGCAGGGTTTGCCCTTGGGCGAATTTTCCCATCACCTTATATCGAAATTTCAGCATTTTCCCCTGCATTTCGTGATTTGGAAAACGCAAAACGGACGGTCGGCGATTGAAATTCATCGAGAAAATTGAGTTTCGGCACAAATTACAATATTCGGCACTCGAATCCACTTTTCAGCCGGATCGAGCAACAAAAGTGAAGCACCTGTGAAGTCGCTAACATATGTCGACTCCCAAACATATGTTAGGAGTTGCTCTCGCACTAGGAATGGGGAATAACGGCCTTAAAGTCGGAGTGACATCTTTTAAAATTAAGTTGTTTTTTTTTGCTTTCTTGCTAACATGCGGGTGGAACTTTTGCCTTTCCCGCAGCCCGTCTGACCGAATTCCCATTCCATTCGTAGGAACGTCCCATAACAATATCCCCAGAAGCATCTCAAATTTGCAATTGCTCTACCGAGGAACATTCTGTGAGAATTCACTCCCAAATTGTTTCAATTATGTTTTTGTTCATCAATAGCGAATTTTAGCCGGAAAGTGTCACGTGACTATGCATTCCAGATTCCGCTTCGGATCTTCAGATTCCATTCGGCGAATTCCCCATTCAGATTCACGTAGGACAGTAATGGAAGAATGTTCCCTTGGGAACGCCGAAAATGACATTTCATTGCTCAAACCGCCTGCCTCCTAATACAACCTATCCCTCATGGACGATAACAGATATCTTTTTGGTCGGAAATGCGGTCACTTTTCACCGATACTTCTGCAGACATTCTTCAACTACGGAATGCCGAAAATGAAATACGAATCTCTTGCCATCGGATTCCAATTGACACACAGCATTTTTTCACCGTAAACTCGATTGTAGATGGAATTTATAGCGTTTCTGCAGTATTAAAGGTTTTCATTACTTGAAGAATCGAAAAGCCCTTCACATTTCCCTCGAATTAATACCACATGATTATCCATGGGGGAAGGCTGAAATCTGCAACTAAGATCCCCACTAGAACACAGAATGCTCTTCATAATGATTGCTACTTTCATTCCCAATTGTTTCGACATAAGTCTTGTATTCTGTTATCAGGATATTGAAGGAAACTTGCTCGTTGACGAACTTCAAACACCGCGGACGATCTCGAGATTCTAGTCGCAGTATTTCATTTACCGTTTTGCTTCCATAGAAAACGCCGAAAATGACTTTTCATTGCCGAAACAGCATGTCTCCGAATGCGATCCAGTTCTCATGGATGGAAGCCGATTCTGATTTGTCGAAATTGCTGCCACTTTTTGCACATATTTCCAACGACATTCTTCACTCACCAAATGCCGTTCCCAAATATGCAAGTGTCTAAAGATTTGTGATTCGGGGAGAAAGATGTCTGACTTGACTATCAGTTCAACTTCTCTCTCAGAAAAAGTAGAGCATAGAAAGTTTGTCTGATGGACTTGAAGCAGTTCCATTTTGTTAATATGGAAACAGTTTCCT